CTGGTCACTGTAGTCCTCCGGGAATTGCCTCTGCACCTCAGGATCTGTAAATAATTGACAGATAATATTAATTGGCTTTGGATTAGTGAGCAAGCAGAGGATCACACATTAATATTTGATCAGAAGATGATAGCAGCCCTGGCAGGGGATCCAAGGGGGGCAGCTGAGGCTGCTATGTTGATGAGCACAAGGAAGGACTCAGCAAGGCACTCCCATTACCCTCCTCCAGAAATACAAAAAAGAAAAATTTTAAAGACCTGATGCTACTGTTAACTTTAGACTATTACCTAATGCAAAAATCTTGCCAGCTGCAAATTGCCCTCGATATATTTTTCCAGAGAAAGAGAGTCTTAAACCTCCTGACTTTTCTTCTCTAATCAGAAACCTCCTTTTCATAGATACAGATGTGGGCTTGATAAACCACCTTAAGCTCCAGTTTCAAATTTTGTGTATTTGTGTGTCAGTGGAGGAGGGAGGGTTTGGGATGAGAATTCTTTCAGGGAACAAATGCAAAATTCCCTGCCTTTAAAAATAAAATATATCCTTCCCAAAATACTTATATGATCTCTTGAAAATAGATGAAGTTTTCTTCAAAACAAAACAATATACCTTTAGCTTGTCAATGTAAACAAAATATCATAATATGAGATGTTATGTTCTAACATAATTAGACTTGCTCAGAAACTACAAAAATACATAGGTGAAAATATCTTTCATGACCATCTGTTTAAAATGGAATTAATAAAGGGGTCACTTGATTCTTCAATCATAATTGCAAGATAATCCAATGCCATTGTCTGTAAGTCAATACAGAAGTGTGTTAATTAAAAGCTATTTGCACTCCATTTGCTATTGATTAGGAAAACATTCAATCTTTTCTAATAAGAGAAAAAGATTTGGTTCCTCAGAGACATATTAGGGAAGTGATCAGAATAATATCTATTTGAGAAATCACATATCAATGCAAAAGGTTTATGGAAAAGCACAATATTTTAAGGTCCCCGACCACAGTGATCACAATATATATTACTCAGTTTTCATGTCTATCTTTTAAAATACCAGTTTACTTCTCCATGAAAGTGAATCCATGTAAAAGTTAAAGCTCTCCATGTCACAAGATAAAAATGTAGTTAATTGTTCTGCAGTGAAGAATCAAAAAGGGAAAAAATTACAGGCCTATTCACAAACTACATTTAAATCCTAGAAATACCAGTTTGAAGTTATTAAAGTTAACAGATGTTATTTTTCAAAACACAAAACTAATAACAAAAGTAGGAATATTCAAAAGGTCACACCAAAAGCAGAGCTTCCCAAAATGGGTGGTACAGCAAAGTTAAAAATATCTGTACACTATCTCAGCCCTTCAAATGTCTTCTTGTTGACTTAAAAACTAGAATCAAATACTAGGAAGAAAACAATGATGCGTAGAGACTGTGACTAGTAGCATTCTGGAGTAATCCCTCCTGCAATACTTCACAGGGCTGCTGCCCTGGTGGGTCAGAGGAAGAAGCTGTTGCTTCTCTGTGGCCTAAAGGGCTGAAATCACACAAGGACTTGGCCCTCTTTTGACAGGAGGCCAGAGGGTGCTAATGGGGTGGCATGAAAAGTACTAGGTCTACAGGGAAAAACTAGCCAGCAGGATGTAAAGAGACAGCCAGATGTCCAACAAACCTCTAAAAGTGCACTGTGGGGGTGGGGTGGAGGACCTAAAAGAGAGGGCAATAGCTGTATTTCCGAAAACATACATATGACTTTGTCCAGAAAAAAATGTTATTTTAGGATCCAAAATTTGGTACTGAGACCCCCACCCATCCACCCAAAGTTCTAAGACATAGTGAAACAGAAGCTGGAAAAGCCACAAAATAATCTAAGGCTTATTCTTTTTCTTTCAGTTGTCACATGGTTAATACTCACTCTTCATCCAGAAAACTTCATACAGAAATTAAGTCCACATATAAATCTTTAGTATCAGGTCCTCTTTCTTGCAGTAGTTTGTTTCTTGGGAGCCACAAAATACCAATGGAAATAAAAATGGAATAAACCAAAGACTATTTTTTGTCACCATTTTCTGAGAAGATGAATGTCAGAAACCAAAATTTGCAGTATATTTTTCAGTTTAAAAAATAAGCTTGTCATTTATAGGTGGAAAAAGGAAGGTTTTTAAATCTCTTTAATCAACTATGTTAACAAGAAACTATATTAATAATTAACTTCTCATTTAAAAATGTATTTTTATTCATATATACAACATAAATTGAAAAAAGAGAAGGAAACACAGATGAAGAGAAAAATCAATCTATTTTAATCCACTGAAGGTAAAGATGACCAATGAATGCCATGGGGTCATTCAAGCCATGTTATTATCCTAAATGCTGCCTTCGTGGTAGGCACCATCAACAAAGTATCATCAACTAAATTCCTTCAACTGTCCTAAGACTAACTAGAGTGAGATTCCCAGATTATAACAGAATCATATACCAAGATAATACATGGATTATTTTTTACGATTCAAGCATAAAACTTTTGATTTCCTTTCTTTAAGGCCCTAAGCAAAACCAAACTTTGTGGGTCTTTAACACTCTCAAAAGCAGCATTAAAAAAAAAAAAAGGGCAATGCTTTTTAAAACCAAAGCCCAACCTATAAATTTCCATTCAATTAGCTCAAAGATCCAATCTGATAGTTAATAAAACTATGAAAGCCATTTTGTAAAAATTAACACAAAAGCTAAAAATAATTTGTATGAATTTTCTTAAAATGTCTATTTTGCACAGGAGGTTGAAATCTTCTTTCACATTGAGTTGATCATGATGCCATAATGTCACCAAAATATCGACATTGGAAACATCTGAGTTAAAAAAAGTCCAAATACAATCTGCTTTTCTCAAGCAACACAACACCCGCCTTACTAACAGTTTCAGCATGGCACATGTACAAAACCTAGCACCCTGCAGTTAAGCAAACCGCCTTTAAATTTTCTGTCTGGCAGCAATCCACTTGCGTGTCTGTATGTTTTTACAAGTACTCTATGTATTTCATTGCATCAGCTGCATTTCTTTAAGTTTTAAATGGTCTGGGAACATTTTATGAAATGTTCTATATCTTTATATGGAAAATAACATACACTGGAAAACTGTGCATCAGTCTAATATTTATATATCTATTTCTTTATCCACCATCCAATGCTATAATTGCTAATGTTCCAGAACTCCTCCTCACGTTCATACCCTCACCACCAAATGCAGCGTCACCAAACAGCTAACTTTCAGCACAAAAATCTGCAGGTGAGAGTACTACCACGGAAAAAAGTAACATAACAGCTTGTTTAGGCAATTTGAATGGCAATAAGAATACAGTTATCAGCATATGTCAAGTTTTTTCTCTAAGAATTGTCCCTCTGACAGAAAATTAAGAACATAATATAGTAATACATTATCCTTCTCTCTCATCAACTTTCTTCAGATTTAAGAAATTGAGCCTTACAAAATTAAAAATCAACTTCATCATCTCCCAGGAAAATACTTTTCAACAAAAATATTATATTTAAAATATCTTGCCAACAGGATGTATGGTATGGTAAGAGTCCATACATCGCTTAACCACGTAAGGCTAAAACAAGGGTTTGCATCATGTCAATTTGAAGAGCCCCTACCTTCTCATTCCAGCACCAAGACTGTGCGAGAGGCTGACCCCACACAGACACGTGTGCACCACTTCCTCTGGAGGTCACAAAAGCATTTCCATATTTAAAACAGACACTTTACAGTACAGTACTGGACTACCAACAACACAATCTCATTCAGGCACGGAACATGACCACGTTTAAAAGCCTATGTGTTCACAACAACAACAAAAAGATTTCAGAACAATGTCTTACTTTTTATTTTTAAAGAAAAGCTAATTTTCTTCAACCTCAATAGTCCATGTTTTCTGGTCTTTTGCTGTTACATACTTTTTAATCTTTAAGATATACCAGATTGCCACAGGATGTTTAATTAATAGAATAAGAGTTTGGGCAAGACTTACTGGAAAGGTACCATAAATTATTTTACACAGGCTCTAAAACCTTGAGTTCTGCCTTAGGCTTAAAGTTCCTAGAAAACGTGGTAGACAGATCTTTTACAACAGAAATGCAAAATAATTCATAAAAATACCGTGCTGACGTATGAGGGCTCATTTGTAGATCAGTAACTAATAAGTGTATACACACAAACACACACCTTACCAAATTATTTTCCTGTTTTTCTCTGTCATAACAATGACTGACTCCATTTGAAGGGTCAAGGCACAACACGAACTGATTATTGAAAAATACACTGCTTCATTTTCTATGAAAGGCGTAACTAATCAAATGTTACAATCTTCTATAACTGGAACACTTTTAGGAAGTTTTAGAGAAACTGCAAATGTAGCCATTAACAGGGGAACCTAAACTGCTTTCACTTTTAGCATGCTGGATACCAAGGCAGAAAACACGACATTTAATGCCTACTAAATTTATCCAGTCATTATCTCAAGGATATTTCAGTCAATACTGAACACATTTAAAGCTTACACTGATAAAAATCTGCCCTTTAAAAGCGAGACTTTAAAATTAGCTACAAACTATATAATCTCATTGTTCAATTTCATGGAGTTTAAGATACTGTCTTCTTCTCCCCCAAAACCATAAATGTTAATCCAAGCTGTAATCAGATTTAATTTTCCAGATGAGAAGATGGGAATATGCTGCAAACGGGTAGTAGTCCATTACACTGCTCTTTCCCTAACGACATTTTCAAATCTTACACTCTGAAAATGCAGACCCTCAGAAAATAGTCCAGAAGCTGTACATTTTGAGGACAGACTCAGTCTTTCTCAAAACACACCTAAAAATAAACTTTCTTTTAATCTTCAAGAAAAGTTAAATTTTTTTGTATGATGCAGAATTAAAGTTTCTTGATAGTATGATTGCAAACTGGACTGCACTAAAACTAATAAAGAGCTTTAAGGACAATACCTATTAAACCTGTTATAGCTATAAAAAGTCAGCTTCACTTGTTTTAT